GCACTCAGAGATGCATGTAAAGAGAGATATCCCTCAGTGTGCCATGATCCATCCTCTGTGATCCCCAGAGGCACAGGACTGAGTGCGGGACTCAGCTAAGATGTTCCTTCCTGCCCACTCCCAGCCTGCCCATTCCTGAGTCTATATGAGCACAGAGATATTGTGCAGAGGGCAATTTAGATATTTTCCCATCTCTAAGCTTATTGAAATTGGGGTGACGAGGAGAGTTTATTCTAAACCAGGGAAAAAAATAAACAGCATCGTGGCCATAAACACTGTGGTCAGAGCAATAACTGTTTCTTTGCCAAGGCCAGAGAGCTCCTAACAGGTCATATGGGGGAATGCTACTTCATAGTGCCTTACAAACATTCAGAAACCAAAGGAACAAGCATTGCATATCAGAGAAGCCTGTGTCTGCATCCTAGAAAGTGAACCAGAGGGCAGAGGAGTATACTAAAGCTCAGAGTGCAGCAAGAGAGGAGAGTAGAGCATTGGTAGGGAGCAACACTCAGAAAGTCAGTGGCATGTGGAAAATGCTCGTGGGGCTGATGCCCTGGTGTGTCAAGAGAACATTCTGGTGCAGTCCTCCTACCTGGCACAATTATGGGGAGTTCCTTCCTCCTGTTCATGCTCTGAAATGGTGGAGGCTGGGGGCTCTGTTTCCCCAAGATCAGTCATGTCACTGCTTGTCCCAGATCCTGCCTTGCAGGCACTTGGACACAGCTGGCATTACGATCTCACACCCCACTGTATTTTTTGGTACTTAAAATTCCACTGATTTCACGACACCAAATAATAATGGAAGATGAAATGTGAGAAAGAAATAATTAACTGGAGATTTTGCATTGTGTGTGTTTGCATTGTGTGTGTTTGTTTATGGCTGAGGGAGTACCCGGAGCTAAGTGCTCCAGACTGTGCTGCCTTCAAAGAACTTACAGTAACATACTGTAGAGTCTGTTTTTGCAATGTAGTACTTGCCAACATTACTGCTCCTAAATCCCAGCCTGTCTCTTTGATAAGTAATATTTAGTTATAACAGCATTTGTAACTTCGTAGTTAGCAATGGGTTAATTGCTAATACATGTTGGCTGTGTATAAATAAAGGTAAGAAAGGAAAAATACCAATACTTTCTTAAAAGCTGAGCAAAATAGAAGGTGGGGAGAAGGCAGCAAAAGTGTTAAACATTGCCAATATTTGCGTGACAATTACTATAGTTGCTTATTTAAAATGAGAAATGTTTTCTCTACAGTTTCTCACATAGAGTGCTGTTCTCTGTGTCAAAGAAACAAAATGCCTGATTTACTTGGAAAAAGTCACAATAATAGTATCATTAGAGATTTAGCCGTGCTGCATGAGCCATGCCGGAGCGAACACTCGCGGTGTCAGTACACTTCTTTAGAAACATGAACTCTTCTGTGCCAGCTCCCCTCACAGGCAGTGAAGAGAGATGCTCAGCCCTAAAGGGCCCAGCTTCTGCTGGGGCCGACCAGAAATTCAGGTGCAAACAGAATTTACAGACTGTACCTCTCACTTTTTCAGTGCACTATGGCATTGCCTGGTTTTCTGCCAGAAGCTGCATCCTGATGTGGTTATGATCTCTGGATAGGCAGATTCCTAGAGCTAATTCTAAATGTGTTTCATGATGTTTGAAAAGGGCTTTTGTCTCCAAGTTGGACACCACAGCTACTCTATTCTCCATGCTTGAGTCAGTTGTCCCAAATCTGCAAGAACTTATTCAAAACTCGCTCCCTTTTCTGAGTTCTGCTCTGAAATATGCCTTTAGAGGGGTGCCTCCTGGCTGGAGTGCCACCTCCTGTCCCTCCTGCTGAACTTTAACTGTTCTCAGCCATCCCTTTGCAGTTCCCCAGCTTCAAGGAAAGAGAATGAATCTCCTAATTCCTCTAACTTTGGTGTGAACTTAAAGGAAATGTGCAACATATTAAGGAACATTTTATCTTGTTCTCCATTTTTTGACTGTTCTATTTAGTGAAAGAGTAAATTTCTGTATTTTCATTTCAGCATACCTATTTCGTACACACTATTTACCCCCCTCCAGCCCAGTTCAGGGTGCACCAAAGCCTTCTTGCAGCTCAGCATCCTCAGAAAGTGTATCAGCTGCACCATGAAATTGCAGTCTGTGGGAGTTACCCCACTCTTCACTAATGGCTGTACTCCAGAAAGGACATAAATGTGTCAGGACTTTGTTTACCCTTGGGATTGAGCATCTCTGGCAATCTGAGCAGTCTCTGCAGCTCTGTGCCTGCATCCCACATGATGGCACTCAGTCCTAAGGAGCTCGTGGTGCCACCCAGCCTCCTCCTGCCTGCCGGTGTTCCTGCCTTGGCACACCTGGAACTCAGTTTTTCCTCCTAGGGACCCTACCCTGCCACCTTGCCCTTGCTCTGTGAGTTTAACTGCAGAGCTGGGATGCAAAGCACCTTTTCTTAAGAAGTACCTAGTTTTAAGTGAGGACCCTGAACAGTGAAGCAGTCCCAATGCTATCACCAACAGCTAAAGTGTGTTTTCTTTTCACATTGCACATGATCTTGCTTCACCTTCCAGTCCTTGAGCTGAACTTTCTGCTAAGTTAAATAGCACTGCAGTGTCTGAAATTGTCTCTCCATTTAAATGCTCTTTCCTTCTTTCTGATTAATGAAAAAGAATCTCTCCAGGTTACCAAGACATTATTACACATCTCCTAACCTCCTGGACTTTCACAGGAACTACTGAGTGTTTGGACACAGGGATCAAAAGGTCCCTTCCCATGCAACCTTCAGTACTGTTGGAGGTATATAAATGAGAGCCACAGTCAGCCCAGGTCAAATTTGGGATGCAGGAGGGAGGCAGCTGCAGAGGGCAGTCCTGGTTTCTGTGGCCTTGCAGTCAGGATGTGGTGTTCTGTCCCTACTGGTTACAGAAGACGCTCTGGTGACTGGGCTGCTTGCTGTGGTTTTATCATCACGTTTCTTCACCCCAGGGTCACTCTATGCCTTGGTTTCTCATCATTCTCACTGCACGGCTCTGTACTTGCCCCATCCTCCCTCAACTGCCACACTTGCATGCTGCTCAGTGCAGTAGTGTGGACAATCCACAGGGACAGTAGTGTGGATAAACTACTGGGGACACTAGCATGGATAACCAAGGACAGGTGTGCCCTCCTTTGCTCTATGCTGTTCCTGGCTGCTCTTGCAAGCATCTTGCTTCACCCGCAAGCATCTAAGACAACGCTGGTTTGCTCCAGCTAGGCGTTGTACATCACACGTGCTGTGCTGTGAAAACCTCACTCTGGTTGGCTGTGACATCATCTTCAATTTATTTCAGAAACTTTGAAGTGAAAAAAATACCCACGGTCCATGGCCAAGAGCACCAGGTGAAGCCCAAGAAAAGATGAACCAAGGACAGTGCTGATGCAGCCAAGGCATCTGAGAGGATTCCCATCCTGTGAAGTGTGGGTGACAAACCTGCTATGCCCTGCCTGGCAGGGCCAGAGGGCTGACACGGGCTGATCCACACTGTGCACACAACTGCCTGCAGGCAGCAGGAGCGCTGACCCAGGCTTCGAGTTGCACACACTGGAGGCAATAATGCTATCTTATCTAGAGGTGATAACATCACCAGTATTAAGGAAACTTCCCTGTCCGACCTTCCAGGAGCCCCTCTGGCACTCACTCTCGCACCACCTGAGCTGGGACAGAAGCTCCTTCGCAGCTGCTCCCCTCACACTCCGACAGTCAGACCTGGTTTTCTCACCAGCTCCGCCCCACGTTTCCCATTGCTGAGTCTCAGACGTCTGGATCCTAAAAGTAATTTGATCATGGTGCAATACCAAAATAACAGCTTCAGCTGGTGCCTCTGAGGAGGGACCCAGAACAAAGGAACCCCTGGGCTTTTATCCCCTCACAGTCCAAGCACAGGAAAGTCTGGGGGTTGTTGGCTCCTGCTGTGTCTCTGAGTGTCGTGTCCCCTGGCTGGGACACAGCTCCCTTTGTTGTCCAAAGGGTCGGCAGTTCACGTCCTCTTGCCCTGGGCTCAGGCTCCTGTCCCACAGAGCTCAACCTGCAGCTCCGCTGCAGCTGCACCCCGAGCTACTGGCACTGAATGTATTCCTCAACAACCAGGTTCTGCCCAGTGCTCCTCATGCTCCAGAGACCACGTGCGCTCTGCCCAGGCAGCACGTCCAGTCACTGCTCTCCAGGAACATCGACGGCCGCTTCCTACTCCTGGGCTCTGCTGTTTCACGATGTGTGTGCCTGTACATTTGTGTTCTGCTTTTTTTTAATAGGCAGTTATGTGCACAGCCTTAACTTAATTTAATGACTGCTCAACATCTAGTGTTATTTTTTCAGTGTCTGTAGTTTATGCAAATGTTTTTCTTTTTTTTGTTTTTTAATGGGAAAATCATTTACCTCTGTTCAACTTTTTTTTTGTTGAGTAAAAGGTAACTTAATTGAAATGCTAAATTATTGGGAGTATGTTCATTTTATCTAGATGGTAACTTTTTCTGAGTACAGGATAAAGACCTGACTTGGAGCATTTTTGTAAAAAATTTGTTCTGAGACATCACTTAATTAATTCAGTAACTCAGTATATGTTAACCCATTATTTGTTTTCAGTAAGACTTTCCCCCAGTGTAGGAGTGTCCTGTTTACTGGCATGTTGAAGATTAATAATTCATTTGAACTCTAGACTAGTTCATTTCACTGAAAATGCCATGTTTCACATCAACTTATTTTTTCCCATGGTGATTGAGAGCTGTTGGAAGCAGTAGGACTACTAATAAGCTTGTTCATGTACAGGTGGGTGGGTGAGGTGCACTTCACTTTAGTTCATGTTGCTGGAATTATTCTAGGACTGATAATCACATTATACGTGAAAGGCTCGATATCACTTTTCTCAGTAACTGAAATCAAGATTGGCCTTGGCTTTAGTTTTTAAGAAATACAGTCATTGTCTTTAATATTGCTAATCAGTCTGTCTGGTGGTTTTGGTTTAGCTTTTCTTCTGCATGGGATGTGCAGTCAGCCCAGTGTTCAGGTAAGAGGTTTCTTAGACTCTATAAGTGAGAGTTCTGAAGTGAGCCATTACTGTGTCAAAGAGTTAAAGGGATGGTAAAGCTATGGAAAAAAAATAAATCCAGAGAAGATAAAGGAAATTTCTCACAGAGAAACTAGATTCACTTCAGCATCCATGTTCACTAAAGAGAAACTGGGGGATATTTACAAGTGGACTCTCTATTTCTGGCCAAAGAGAACAACAACATAACTTCACTGTGAGACAGTGCTCAGCTAGAGAGTTCAGTGCAACTCAAGATCCAAAGTGCAATGGTATCAGTAGGAGGGTCAGCCTCTACTTCAACTCCCTTTGCACCTGCTAACTGCAAGACAACCACTGTGGTGTCACCTCCCAAAGAGATCTGGACAACTGCTGAGCCATAACCCAACATCTGTACATATAGCCAGTTGGCAGAAATTACAGTAAACAATAGTATTACTGGACACATAGTAAATATGGTGTTTTGGAGAACAGTCAAAGTTCAGGCTTTAGTAAAGGTAAGTTATGTCTCACCAATCTGTTGAAGTAATTAAGAAAAGCAGATGAGTATATGAAGTGAGTGAAGTCCAACCCATACAACTACTTAGACTCTCAAGAGACTTTGAGTGATCTGGAAAGTACATGAATAGTGGGCTGATGACATATGATGATGAAACAAAGGTCTTCAGAGTAGTAAAGACAAGGACCGACTGTGCAGAGTTGCAAAGAACCTTAGTTAAAAAGTGAGAGGAGGAATATAGTGCTCATAGATGTAAAAAGTGAGCTGCCAGGGAAAAAAAGCTGATATACCACTCAAGGTATTTGGAATTATATTAATTGGGACTGCTCTGTGGAAATGTCAGATCAGTGCTATGCAATGATTCAAAAAGCAAAGTAAATTTCAGGAATCATGAGGAAAGAAACTGAGAACAGAAAACACCATTATGCTGCAGTATAAATCTGTGGTGTATCCACATCTTCAACAAGTGTTTGTGGTTCTGGTCTCTGTCTCCAAAAGAACATATCAGTGTTGGCAGTGTCAGAAAAAGGCAACAAGGTTGAGCTGAATGTATGGGCCATTGTCAAGATTTGATGGACTTTGGTCACTATAAGCATTTTTATGTTCAAAAATTCTTGTAAATCACACCTTTGTTCAGTGTCACAAAAATGGTTATTAGGAAGGGATCTTCCCCTTCCTGGAGAAAAAAAAATAAAGAAAGTATGAAATATGAGACTCATGTCCCCTAATTGGAAAAGTACACCTCAAAAGAAAAAGCATCTCTAAAAATCAATTTAACTCACAGAAGGTGGTTGTTTATAAAAAAAATCAAACACACCAAACCAAAAAGTGTTTCTTATGTTAGGATTTAGGAGCTTAAGAGAGGCTGTTTGACATCAAAGTGCTAATGTTTCATGTAGAATATATGCTGTTCTTGCTCCACAGATTCCCAGTCGACTGTCCATTCTCTGTTGGATGCATGAATCTGTACCAGTGATGACTGAGAAAGGCATTTCTCCTCGATGATTGGGAGAGGGCTGGCCTGATGATTATCTCCTTGGAGAAGTTCAGTGTCTCTCTCTGTAGCCCTCCTAGCACACTGCAAAGCCGTTTGTGACCCACATTCAGGATGTCTTTCAAGAAGGGTTGGGCTGGCATAATGTAAGTAACGTTCTGGTACTCATGGGTGGAAGTGAATGAAAGGCCTGAGGAAAATCTATCTTAGGATGTTTTCTTCAGGTTTGTGAAGACTTCACGTTACACTAAGTGAATCCAAGGAAAAGTATGGAAAGCCTGTAGATTGCATACTGTGCTATAATGTGTGCCAACACATTGAGTTCTGGTACCTAACATCTGACTTCAGCATTCGAAGACTAAATGTTGAGAGAAAACCTGAATGGTCTGGAGAAATAAATGAAACCAAAGATCTGTACTTTTCAAAAGAAGTCTTGATTCCCAAATCTGGCAGAAATTATGCTTACAGAAGGAATCCAGACGGTATTGTTTTATATCTTGGGTACTCTACTAATAAAGTGTCCCTTGTAAATACCAAAAACATGACAGTCAGCTATTAGAGAGAAAGGAAAAATACTGTTGAGGGCAGCTTTATCCCAAGCAAAGGGGCATTAACTACATGCCCAGATGTTTCTTTTCTGTCTCTCACCCTTCAGTGTTGATTTATGCAGCTTTGCAGAAGGTTAGTTCAGAAAAAAAGACAAAGAATGATTCAGTCATCTTCAAGATGAAAATGAAACCCACCTAAGTTCTCGTCACTTAATAGTACTGCTTGCATTGTTGTACACCAGATTGATATCTGGATGATTATGTTAACATTTTGCTTTAACAATGATGTCATTGATGTGATGTGATGGAAGATCTTGTTTTGGAGAGTACCTCATCTACTGTGTCAGCTGAAGTTTTCAACAAGTTAATATTTCTTCAGTGTTGGACTGAAGTATGAAAAGTTCTATTTCATCAAAAAAGTGAGCATCTTTCTTCATTGTCCTAGAAAGATTACACTGGAAGGTGAAACCAGAGCAGAGGATGACTCAGTACAACCATTCAGCAGAGTTCTCTCTCCAGAGCTCAGCAAATAAGTCATTAAATTTCACTGAAACACCACTGGCTTGGGATGAAAGGACACTCTTAGGGCTGAAGATTTCACTGTCAATCCTTCTGTCCGTTATAACTTTGGCAACAATCCTTGCAAACGTTTTTGTTATTATTACAATTTTTCTGACTAGAAAGCTCCACACACCTGCAAATTACCTCATTGGCTCCTTGGCAGTGACTGATCTTTTAGTGTCTGTCCTCGTAATGCCCATCAGTATTGCTTACACTGTCACCCATACATGGGCCTTTGGCCAAGTGCTGTGTGATATCTGGTTGTCATCAGACATCACATGCTGCACAGCCTCCATCCTGCACCTCTGTGTTATTGCCCTGGACAGATACTGGGCTATCACAGACGCTTTGGAATACACCAAACGCCGGACTGCTGGCCGAGCAGCCCTCATGATTGCAGTGGTCTGGATGATATCTATTAGTATTTCTGTGCCACCATTTTTCTGGAGGCAAGTGAAAGCTCATGAAGAAATTGCAAAGTGTACTGTGAACACAGATCAAATTACCTACACAATCTATTCCACTTGTGGAGCTTTCTACATCCCAACTGTGCTCCTCCTGATATTATATGGTAGAATTTATGTAGCAGCTCGATCCAGAATTCTGAAGCCACCCTCATTATGTGGGAAACGTTTTACTACTGCACACCTGATCACCGGCTCTGCGGGGTCTTCTCTCTGCTCCATTAATGCTAGCCTCCATGAAGGGCATTCCCATTCAGGTGGATCCCCAATATTTATCAATCATGTTAAAATAAAAGTTGCAGATAGTGTCCTGGAAAGGAAAAGAATTTCTGCTGCAAGAGAAAGGAAAGCCACCAAAACTTTAGGCATTATTTTGGGAGCTTTCATTTTCTGCTGGCTGCCTTTTTTCGTCATGTCCCTAGTCCTACCCATTTGCCAAGATGCTTGTTGGTTTCATCCCATTCTACTGGACTTTTTTACCTGGCTGGGTTACCTAAATTCATTGATCAATCCAGTCATTTATACAGCTTTTAATGAAGAATTTAAACAGGCTTTCCAAAAACTAATACTTTTCAAAAAGCGTTCATCTTGAGACTCTCCTCTTGTGTTACTGACCCTTGTGCAATCTCATACCTGAAACTTTCCATGCTTTTATTCCTAAGGAACAGAGTGGTAATTGCCAACTCTGCTGCAACCCTGTTCTGTGCATGTAACTGGGGACTTCTCGCCAATTTGATACTTTCTGTCTGGAATTCTGCATTCCATAACAGAACTCGTCTGTGGTCTCTGCAGTGATCGTGTGTGTATATAAGACCAACAACACATGAAATAAGCTTTGTAACGAGGGATGGTGTGCAAACCAGGGAGCTGGGCTTGTGTGAGGGGGTGACACGTTATCCAGTTCTACCATGCTTTGTAACCTGGTGGGAGGAAATTGTGTATGTGTTTGCAGGATATCAGTATTTCTGCTGCATATTATTAATCATTTATGTAGGCTGAGAAAGTTTCTGGAGAGCAGGATCTGATATCTACATTTTCTATAGCCTGTATCATATCCACGTGACGCTGATAAGACCTGTAACTTTTTCAGAAGTTGTGTGACACAGCCTGGCTATAACGAGCAGCAGGGCAGAGAGGCATGTAAGTCATATGAATATTTCACAACTGCTGCATTTGAAGCTATGTTTTTGGTGAACTGCAGAAAGAAGACAATTTATTTGAAGCAATTTTTACACATTTTATCATGAATAGAATAGCCAGTGCAGAAATACTACAAAATAAATAGCATGAAAATTATTGTGAAGTACCTTGATCTTATATTTTATTTCATTTTTTTTGCATGCACAAGCTGAAACAGGAGAATATAGTTAGTGCCAGTGTGGAATGACTGGAACCTCAGAAAACAGCCAGGAGCTTCACTCCTTGGTGACAAGAAATGGGAATTTAGAGAGGAGAGAATGAAGTGACACACTAAGGAAAATTTTCTTAGTAATTAGGTTGTTGGGGTGGATGGGCCATCACTGTCTCTGGAAGTCTTTAAATACTGGTCAAGCAAACATCTGTCAGGAATCATACTGTCAGAACCCTCTGCTGGGGCTGTGGAGGGTGGAACAAGTCCCCTCTAATCTGCACTTCTCTTCTTTTGGGATTATTTCCCTGATTTGGCAGGTGGAAAGCCGGCACACGGAGGTCTTGGTTGAAGTCTTGGACAGGACAGCACACCAAGTGGTGCAGTCCAAATTTCATTCAACTTTTTAGTCTCTGGGGATTTTAGAGCAAAAGTGTCCATACTGTGTTATGAGAGGCACACATTGCTTTGAAAGTTATCCCATATTCCTTCTGACAGCCCTTCAATCTCTTGACCTGCCCCAATTCATCTCCACTATCAACTGCTGTGCCCATTCCTATGCACTACACCACAGCCCAGGTCCACCACAGCTTTCAGCCTCTCCTTCGCATTTGAGGCACAGCCTCACAGCTTCTCCCTGTGGCTGGTGCCTCTGCTGAGGACTGGACCATAAAGTGATGGCCTGGGACCACCTGTATGCTGCAGAGTCAAGCAGAGCAGTTGTGTGGTCACAGAACTGTACTCTTCTCTCTCACAGTATCCACCAAGGGCACTTAAGGCTGCCCTGCTTGGGACACAACTCTCCTCCCCTCCCAGAAGTGTGCTGATCTAGCTCCGTCCAGCTCGAGATTTTGATGGTGCTGCTACCTGGCCATGTCCACACGGTCTGCTTCTAAAGTGCGTCCTGAGTGCCCACTGGCTGTGGTGGTTCTCGCCTGTGCTCACTCCGTAGCTGTGCTGTTGCTTTGCCAGGGGACATGTGAGCTGACACAGGCTACAGCCACACAGGGGAAGGCCTGAACCATTAACTAGTGTTGACAACTGAGCTCTCACACCTGAGGCCAGTCCCTGGCACTATTCAGTCTGGGGTTACAGCATTGTCCAACTTGGAGCTTCAGATTCCCTTCTGGGCTGCCATCCCTGTGCCCAGGGCACTCAGAGCTGCTGCCGTTAAGGGACAAGACAGTATGGCACTACCAGTCCAGTCTTGCTCTGGAGGTAGCTGAGGTATGGAGGCATCACAAAAGGTTGGTATAACCACTTCTGCTAGAAAAATTGGATACACAGTCTCATATTGGGCCTGCAACAGGGGACCTGTGTGACTACATGAATTCAGAGATAAGACTCCAGAATCTTACAGGGTCTTGTCACTCAAAGAACCATTTGTGGAGACTCAAGAAAGCTCTCCTAGCTTAACACAGAACATTGCATATTCCAGAACACTGGCATCTTCTGGGTTCCTCGGGGACTTGAATAAGAAAATTAAACATGGTTTCTCTGCCTCTCCTCCAGCAGCACCAGCATAGTGCTGGTGCCTCCTGCTTTGTACCAGTCTCTGCTGAGAGCTAGTCTGGCCTTCCCACCATATGGCTTCATGCTGCCTGAGGCAGGGCTTGTCTTCAGCCAGGTCACTTCTGAACTACCTTCTACGTACCTATTCTCTTCCTACCTCATGTTTCAGGATGTCGTGCTAGCAATGAGCCCTTGGGTCACAGTGCTCCTGCAAAAACTTGGCAGCAAGACTGTCACTCTGTTGTCTAAATGATGCTGAATTTTGGTCTGCACATCACTTAGGGACCTTCTCCACAGTGTCCTTCAAGTGGCCTCATGCCTGGTTGTTACCTTGAAATCAGAGCCTTGGAGCAGCTGATGGCACATCTCATTAGAAATACTGACAGGGGCAATGAGAGTTAGTGTGTGTGTCTTCCTTCTCAGATCTGGAGACGTACAATACATAGGAGTAATTCAAGTTGGAAGGGACCTCTGGAGGTCGCTAGTCCAAAATTCTGCTCAAAGCATAGCCATCAGCGATTTTCTCAGCTTTCCAAGGATAAGGATGCACAACCACTCTGGGTAACCTGAGCCAGTGCTTGACTGTCCTCCTGGTGAAAAAGATTGTCATAGGTTTGAAAAGAGATCTTGGAATTTTTTCCCCCGTGTCGCCCGCTCCCCCTCCCCAATCTGTTTCTTCCGGGATGGGGGGAGTCAGGAGGGGGAGAGGGAGCGGAACGCCACGCGCTGCGCAGCGCGGGAGCGGGCGGAGGCCCCTCTAAAGAGCGGGCCAGGGCCGTGCCGCGGAAGCCCTTTTGTCCGGAGGATTGGGGTTTTTTTCCACCGATGGACAGAGCGGGGGCTGTTTTGGGGTTTTTTTTTGGGCGCTTTTTTTTTTTTTTTTTTTTCTTTTTTTTTTTTGTTTTTTTGTTTCTTTTCCTCCTGATGGAAAGTTTTTTTTCTTTTCCCTGCCGGATGCCGCGTGCAGAGCGACTGAGACCGACGCATCTCGGAGCGAGATGCTCTTGGGTCGTGGGGACTGCATTATCAGAGCTGCCTGAGTTGAGACTGCGCCTTTGGGAAGAAGGACTCTTTCTATGAAGCCACCGGCCGCTCCCGTGGCTGCGAGCAGCTGTTGAGCTGCCAGGGACAGTTTTGCCGTCACCCCTCCCTCCCACCCCCTACCCCAGTTTGCCGCGGGTTTTTTTCCCCCTGGGGAATTAGGACTTTGTTTTGTTTCTTTTGAAAGTTTTGGTTGCACCATTGTTGTTTATTCGGATTTGTTAATAAAGAGCTGTTCTTTTCCTTTTCCACACTTTCACTTGCAGACTCTTAATTTCAAAGTTGTAATCTTGTTAGACAAAGATTTTCCTTATATCCAGTTTGAACTTCTCTTTTTTCACTTATGTCTATTGTCTCTCAGTCTCCCACCAATCACTTCCTGCTAGGTCCTGGGGAAGCTGCTGTCGGGTTTCCTCACATCATTCTCTTCTCCAGGCTGAGCAAGTCCAGTTCACTCAGCTTCTCCCTCTGTATTCCTGCGGCAAGTTCTCCAGTCTCCTGACCATTCTGGTGTCCATCCATCAACCTCACGCTGCTTTAGCTATGCCTTTCTTGTACTAAGAGGCCCAAAACTGGACACAGTTTTCCAGATGTGGGCTAGCAAGGGCTGAGTAGAGCAGGATAATCACTTCCCTTGATTTATTAACTATGCTTCTGCTAATATAGCCTTCTCTGCACCAGGTCACGCTGCTGGCTCCTGTTCAGCTTGCTGTCTACGAAGACCCCCAGGTCCTTTCCAGCAGAGCTGCTATCCAGCCAGTCAGTCCTCAGCCTGTATCATCTCAAAGGGTTCTTCCTCCCCTGGTTCAGGACTTTGCATTTGTCCTTGTTGAATTCTGAAGGTTCCTGTTAGCCCCTTCCTCCAGACTGTTTAGGTCACTCTGAATAGTGGTTCTGCCCCTGAATGTATGCACTGAACCCCCCAGCCCAGTGTCAGCTGCAGACTTGAGTGCACTCCATCACTTCCTCCAGGCGATCGATAAAGAAACAGGACAGGTCCTAGGACAGTCCCCTCTAGTACTCTGCCTGTTATCAGGCTGTCCACCCATACAGACCCCAGCATCCCAAACTGAGTTCAAGGATATTGTGTGAGTGTTGAAAGCCTTGACAAACTCAAGGCTCATGCACAGACTCAGTAAATGTCTTGTACAAGGCAATCAAACTGGGCAGACATGATTTACCCTCTGCAAATCCATGCTGACTGCTCACTTTGTTCACTGTGCTCTTGGCTCAGATCCAGATTCCCAAGGCATTACAGATGAGGGCCAGAACTTTGCCATTCTTTTTTTTCAGACCATGTTGCAAGAGAAAATGTCTGGGCAGGATGGCACAGAGCCCAAAAGAGGTCAGTCTGAGTGACCTGTGCAGCACCTTTTCACTTGGACCACAGCCCAGAGGGAAAGTGTCTCAGAGAACAAGAGAAGGAGGAGAGCACATAGTTTATGTCTGCTATGTGAGGAGTTCTGATAAATAATATTTCACTGATGTAACTTTAGGGCTGGCTTCAAGTGGTTGCTGAATTGAGATTTCTTCACGCTGGCAAAGTCCCGAAGAAGATGGCTCAAATGGATTAAAGAACAGTGGGCAAATGGAGGCAGGGTATGTAGAAACCCAAGTCATAGAGAAGTCTTTAAAGAGAAAGGCCCCTTTTTCCTCTCACCCCTTTGTATTGAAGGATATTACCTCTGCTTCTGTGCCAGTGTTTGTGCCTGTTCTTTGGGAAGGACCTGGTGTCCTCTGTTTCTTCCCACTACTCAGATGGGTGTAGAATCAGAGAATCATAGAATGTGAAGGGTTTGGAATGGACCTTAAAGATATCTAGTCCCAACCCCCCTTGCCATGGTCAGGGACACGTCCCACTAGACCAGGTTGCTCAAGGCCTCATCCAACCTGGCTTTGAACATTGCCAGGTTTGGGACGTCCACAACCTCCTTGGGCAACCTGTTCCAGTATGTCACCACCCTCACAGTAAAGAACTTCTTCCTAATATCCAGCCTAAATTTCCCCTCATTCGATTTGTACCAACTACTCTTTGTCCTGTCGCTACAGTTCCTGAGGCACAGTCCCTCTCCCTGTATGACCCCTTCAGATACTGGAAGGTTGCTATGAGGTCTCCACTCAACCTTCTCTTCTCCAGGCCGAACAGCTCCAACTTTCTCAGCCTGTCTTTGTAAGGGAGATGCTCCAGTCTTCTTACCAAATTCGTGGCCTCCTCTGGACTTGCTCCAACAGTTCCATGTCCTTCTTATGCTGGGGATACCAGAACTGTACACTGTGCTCTAGGTGGGGTCTCACAAGAGCAGAGTAGAGGGGGAGAATCCCCTCCTTTGACCTGCTGGCCACGTTCCTCTTGATGTAGCTCAGAACACAGTTGGCTTTCTGGGCTGTGAGCGCACACTGCCGGCTCATGTTGAGTTTTTCATCCACCATTACCCACAAGTCTTTCTCCACAAGGCTGCTCTCAATCACTTCTCCACTCAACTTGTAGGCGTGTCTGGGATTGCTCTGACCCAGGTGTAGAACCTTGCACTTTGCTTTGTTAAATTTCATGAGGTTTGCATCAGCCCACTTCTCCAGCCTGTCCAGGTCCCTTTGGATTGCATCCCTTCCCTCCAGCATGTTGACTGCACCATACAGCTCACTGTCATCAGCAAATTTGCTGGGGGTGCACTCAATTCCACTGTCAGTGTCTCCAACAAAGATTTTGAACAGTATTGACCTCAGTACCGACCCCTGAGGGACCCCAGTTGTCACTGGTCTCCATGTGGACAATGAGCCATTGACCACAACTCTTTGTGTGCGATCATCCAGCCAGTTCTTTACCCACCAAGGGTCCATCCATCAAATCCACGTCTCCAATTTGGAGACAGTGATGCTGTGTGGGACAGTGTCAAATACTGTGCATAAGTCCAGGTAGATTATGTCCGTTGCTCTGCCCCATCCACCACTGCTGCAGCCCCATCATAAAAGACCACCAAATCTGTCAGGCATGATTTTCCCTTTGTAAAGCCAATCACCTCTTTGTTTTTCATGTGCCTTAGCAGACTCTGCTCTATGTTCTTGCCTGGTACAGAGGTGGGACTGACTGGTCTGTAGTTCCCAGGGCCTTTTGCTTTCCCCTTTTTAAAAATGGAGGTTATATTTTCCTTTCACCAGTCATCAGGGACTTCACCTGACTTCAACAAAATCTGAAACCTTTCCACCCACCATCCTTCCCATAACTCCTGTATCATGAGCTGATCAACTTGAAATTATTCCCCTATTTGCTGTCATGGTTTAGGAATGGCATTCTCCAATTTAGTACTCCCACTAACACCACACACCACTTCTCCTCCCCACCTCCAATTGGAGGTACAAAAACAAAGATCAGGACTGAGATAAGAACTATTTACTGGAAACAGCAATAAGAGAAGAAAATGAACAAAAGCTCCTGACAATAAAAAATACCAGACTGTTCTGTCTGCCAAATTTACTGGACCAGAAGGAACCCCTTCTCTCCTGAAGAGGGAGAGTCCCTTTTTCCCCACCCCCAGCAATGAGGTGAAGTGGTGAATAACCTTGGGTCCTGGCTATGCCAAAAAATGAACCCTGTCCTGGCTGAAACCAGGGCACTATTCACCCCTTATTTTATACCATCTATGCCATACCCAGATCCCACACCTTCCAACTATATACATATACATATATATATATATATATATATATATATATAAATATACACAAGCACAGGTATCATTTCTATATTCAATGGCTGTCCCTAACAGTTTCTGTGACTCACCGTGTAGGACTCCACATAGCAGCTTTCCATTTTTGATGTATCCCTACAATACGGCAGGAACCGTCAGTGAAGGGAGTGTGTCTTTTAACCTGTCCACAGTCTTGGACAGGGTCTCCACAGTCGAGATGCAGGTCAGTAGGGAGGACCTGATCTTCATATTGCCAGAGTCAGGCAGTCACCTGAAGCACTGTTTGTTCTCCTTCTGTCCATGACATCAATGCTCATGAGTTGGCGTGTGATGATGGCACGCCCCATACAAACTTCCGCCACATGGATTGTGTGGACTGGACCTCATCTGGATCTACAAGGACTGCTTGTTATTTGAATCCCTATAGATTACCTCCAGCACAGCTAATTCTCTCAGGTATTGGCCACCTTTCTCCATGGCGTTCCACCTGCTTGGATGCACTATTAGATCATCCTTGAGAGAATACCTTTCCTTCACCCTTGACATGAGAGTTTTTGTCTTCTTCCCCATCCCTTTGTCAATGCCCTCATCCCAGGACAGGGATCCCAATTGCTTGGCTTCACTCCCATCTAGTTTCATATTGTGGGCTGCGATATCCCAGCATTGGAGCAGCCAGGTCACCAGGGGCTCTCATGACTGATGACTGAAATCTTTTCTCATATCTCGCAGCTCACCCAGGGATAGGGATCAGTTGATTATCTCTAGCCCTGCCTCTTCCTCCTGTTCTGAGGGCCCTTCTTCCTCTTCATCCCTCACTAAGTGAACTGATGTTGTCTTGAACGTGTAGGGATGAATGCTACCATCACGGGTTGTTCCTCTGGTTCAGCTGCAGTCTGAGTGGCCCCGGTGCCTGCTGGTCTGCTTTCCTCCTCCCCCTGAGGGTGCTGTCTAATAGCAAGCAGTGTCTGATAAATAGTAGCCAGGGCCCAGCACACCGCAATAAATTGTTCCTCTGGAGTTGCCACAGCATTCTCCTTGCAGATTACCTCTCATTTTACTAGGGTCCTGTAGTTCTTCAGAGGAGAATTCCTCAATCACTGGAGCAGAGAATTTATCAAAAAACTGGCCCATTTTATCCCACATTCCATGCTACTCATGACTATCCACCCTTGTGGAAGATACCCAAATGAACTTCCTAGAAATTTCTTTCTTGGCTCTAAACATGGTGTGGACTGCACTATGGAGACCTGGCAGGCTTAGCAACAAGAATATGCTTTCCTTAACACCCAAAGGAAATTCAAAAGTCTCAAAAGCTGTTGTAACAGGCCTGAAGGAGGAAAAGGGGGTGAAAAGCTAGGGAAAATCATCCTCCCCTGTTCCCCCTACAGGTTGGGTACAATTATTAATGGACTCCCAAAGGTAGTGCCCAAGGTAAGGGCAGGACAGCAGCACTGAATAACCCTCACACTGATACCACACAGTACAATAGAACAATCCTGATCCCTCTCCTTGCTCTGAAACAGAGTATCATGATGGTCACACAGTGCATATATGCAAACGTATCAGGGTTCGGTACCACACCCACATGAACAGACCAAGCAACATTGTGACCAGCAGCTTTGTACCTAATACAACAGATGCTAGATCATATTTGTTTCCAACACTCTCTGGGCAGATCTGTTGTTGTCTCAACCCTTCAAGCCCCACATTGTGTGCCAATTAAGGCTGTCATGGTTTAGGAAGGGTATTCTCCCATTTAGTACTCCCTCTAAAACCATCCTCCACTTCCCCTTCCCCCCTTCAATTGGAGACACAAAAGGCAAAGGTCAGGGATTGAGGCAAGAAAAACTTACTGGAAACAGCAATGAGATAAGAAAAAGAACAAAAACAGCAACAATAGTAACAAAAGGTATGAGAAAAAGAGACTATTTACATGGAAAGCTCCCAACAATAAACAATACCGGACTATTCCATTCACAACATTTACTCGACCAGAAGGAACCCCTTTTCACTGGGAGAGAGTCTCTTCCCCCACTCCGGCAATGATGTGAGGTGGTATAGAATAACCTCTGTGTCCTGGCCACACCCCCTCCTGGCTACTGCAAAAATTAACCCTGCCCTGGCCAAAACCAGGATATTTGTCCATATACAAATGAAGTTAGAAGAGGGAAAGGAAAGCAAGACCTTGGCAGTACAGCCCACTGGTTAGAACACACCTAGAAAGCAGAAGACAGAGGGTCAAGTCAGTTCTCTAATAAGTAGTAGAGGGTTTATGCACAATAGCAGTTGAAACTGCGAACTTTGTCCTTCATTATCTTGGGAGTGACATTGTTTAAAAACAGACTTCCCAGCAGAGTATGTTGGCCATTGCCTTAGGAGGCTGGCGTTTCCAGGAAAGAGCTGGGTTGGCATCAGACTCAAAGCCAAGGAAAGTTCCCAGCTGAGAAAGCTGGGACAGCGCATACATGCGCACAGGGATCCAGAGGCCAAATGTCTCCACAGAATTTCTTCTGATGGTTCACCTGCTTAGTGTGAAACATAAAACCATAGATCGTGGTCCTGGAAGGGCCTTTGAGAGGCCGGCTAGTCCATTCCCATTGATCTGCCTGTATCAGCTATGCTTTTGCCCTTTTCCCATCTTTCCTACTTTTGAAAATTTCCAGTGATGAACAGAATGGCAAAATACAGCATAGGAAGATGATCCACTACTATTCTTTGGGCTTTTATGACACTGTTTAATTCAAGAGTAAACAAACTAGGCCATTTCTTTGATTAGATTATCAGATAATTTAAAAAGGCACGTAGTCTAATATTATACCATTCTTAATGTTGGTAAATATTTGATATAGTGCTTCAGGAACTCATATTGGAAAAAAACTGATATGGAACTGGCAGAGGAAAACACTTGCTAGGAATCATAAATGAAAGATAAGTAACACCCCACAGCCTCTGAGTTGAAAGGATGAGACTCTCATGTCACAGAGATCAATGTCCACATTTACCATGTTTTATAATGCTCTGTGAATTGCAGTCCAGAGCACACAAATTCATTTCACAGAAGGTACACAAGGGCTGTGTGATTTCTCAGTGCCTCTCCAATGAAGCTCTTGCAACATTGACCACACAGGTAACCTAAAACACATTTTATGTTTCTACTGAAGTACATACTGAGATGTCCCAGCACATAGTTATTTCAATTAAAACGTGGCATTTATTGAGAACAGAAGAAATAGCTAATTGTAAGTCAAAGCATGTGTGTTCACTGCAGCACCATTAAATTCCAGTGCAGGTTATTCCTACAACCAGGGAAGAGGACAAGTGTCAGCAATGAAGAGTCACTATGACTGAAGACTGGCAGGACAATGAAAATGGAACCTGATCAATCCTCTCAGGATAAGCCTGAACCTTGCAATGTGAAAGAAAGATGGTCAGTCGTGGAAAGCCTGTGGGTTGAGGGAATCCTGCCATGCTTACCAATCTGAAAACAGTTCCCTGTGAGGGCGTTACAGAGGAACAAATGCTGTATACGTGTCTTGGTTTAATGACAATATATTCAGGAGGTGGAACCTCTAATGAAGTAAACCTCCACTTCTCTTTTGTTTACTTCCTTCCCCCAAATATTGACAAATTCTGAAGTTATGAGGAGTCTGAATGAAGGAGGAAAAAGATAACAATTCTACTAAAAATGGAGAACAAAACAGAACAAAACAAAAACAAACAAAAGCACAAAATATGTTACCTAGCCACTCCCTCTCCCTTGGTGAAAATGAGAAAAACCTGGAAGAGTGTTTCGTTCAAAGAAAGGACTCCTATGCCACCAAGACAGCAGCATGGATCCCGACGAAGCAAAACCATGTGACGTGACAACGATGGAGCCAAAGCGGCGCTGGGACCAGGTGATCATGAGCCATGTGGTGGCAGTGCCCCGTACAGCTCCCAAAAGGAAATTCCCAGGCTTTTGGCATGGCTGTGGCAGCAGCTGGCAGCGGCGCTGGCACCCCTCAGGCAGCTGACGGCAGTTGCCACGGCAAAAAGCGCTGGTGGCGGCTTGCCACGGTGAGGGAAAGCCGGGTGGTGACGGATCAAGAGACAACCACTGATGAAGCAGGTTGGTCCCCGGGGGAAAGGCTCCAGTGAGCAAAACCACAAGTACCAAGAGAGACAGTTCCAGAAGCGCTGGAGACTTTTATCCCCTTTCCCTGAGTCCTCGTGATGTTTCACTTCAGGGACCACCCTACTCTTTCCAGCAGGGTACCAGTGCTGGGGACAGTCCCTCCCTGGTGCAGCCCTGGCAGGGCAGGGGTGGTCCCCTGTACTTTGAACTATGTGATGATACAAAAAAATTCAACAAAAAAGCTTTCTTATTTAACTAATACTACAACATTATGTAAGACTGCTTACATATATGAAGCCCTATTGATGAACAGATCACATCTTCACAAACAAACCTGGCAAAAAAATCCTTTTGGAAATGACTGCTTTGTAAATGTAACTAGTATATGGCATGATGGAAATGTGTTTGCACAAGACACTTTGTAACATAGTGTCAGAATGTCTTCCTTGACAATTATGATTTTTGCCACCCTAATATTCTAATGCAAAAAGGTATTTCGATACCATGAAGATGTGATGGCTCATACTTTCCTGGCTATTCTGTAGCAGTTAATGATAGACAATTTCTGCTGGTTCAAATTTTAAACTACCAGTAGCGCATGGAAACTACTTCTCGGTACCCTGCTTTTCCTTTTTGAGTTTACTACTCCCTCTGCGGTAAACCTTGCAAGTCCTTGAAGGAATGTCAAGAGGGACGGTCATAGCTACAATTCCCATGCAATTTACATTATGACAATCTGGCTACAGGTTCTCAGTAGCTCTTGTCACTCAGAGATGAGGAATTCCCAACAGCTTCGGCAAAATTAATTTAACTTTTCTGAATTCTTTTTCAATACAGCCAAGATGGTTGCCTTCAAAATACCAATGACCAGACACATATTCCACACAATTGTTGCCAATAACAGATTTTGCATTTAGATTTCATCACTGGTGAAACAGAAGAAAATGTGAAGTTAAGAGCCCTTTCAGCCAGATTTCCTCTAAGCCACCTCCTTTATATACACACCACCTCCAGCTTCTGGTGGCAACAGTTATACCTTCACATCAGTTGTACTTCCAGCACCTATTACTGAGGCAGAGGCCCTCTCCCCCAGCCTGCCAAGGTTCATCTGAGTAGCAGCCCTGACCTAAGGCATATTGCAATTGCTCTCCCCAGTTTGGTGTTGTCTGTAAACTTGCTGAGAGTGCAGACAGCTCATTGCCCAGGCCATTAAAAAAGACATTAGTCACTATCAACCTACCAGTGTGCATCCCTGAAGGATGCCCCCAGGAACTAGTTGCCAGTTGGATTTCATATGGTTGATATGAGCCCTTCAGCCCAACCATCCAGCCAGTTCTTCATTCCCTTCACATTCCAATTATCCAGTCCAATCTCACCAACTTGCCTACAAGTACACTGTGGGGAACCATGTCAAAAGCCTTGATAAAGCCAATCCTAATCAATACAACACCCTCCACACAGGTTGTTGTCTCATTGTACAAGGAAATAAGGTTGGTCAGGTAAATTCCTGCTGGCAAATCCCAGTCACTTTTTCATCCTTCATGTGCTTGGAAATAGCTTCCAGGAGAATGTGCTGTCCAGTCTCCTCAGGGACTGAGTTGAGGCTGACTGCTGCCTGGATCCTCCTTCTTGCCATTCTTGATGACAAGTATGATGACATTTGTCTTTTCTCAATCACCAGCATGTTTCAAAGATGACAGAAATCAATCTTGAAATTATATTGGCAAACACCCTTGGCATCCTCAAATGCATCCCTTCTGGCCTCATGTGTAGACCTAATTCAACTGACATTTTTAAGATGTCTGCTCCAGGAAGGGATGAAACATCCCCTAAGCTCAACTGACTTTGAAGACATTATTTCCATTACCTAGATTGAAGGACTGAAATGAGACTTGTGTCGAAGAATCTGTAGTGGACGTCTCATACATGCAGACAAACCCTGCTCTTACTGTGTGCAAATCCTGTTTATTATTCCCAGCAACTGCAACTGCCCGGTGTTCTCCAGGTACGGCAGGTTGTGGCTCCTGGCATGCCAGGTTGAAGCTGGTGAAGACAGATATGAAAACCCTCAGTCTGAGGAGGAGAAAGTGTTCTCACTGTAATGCCATAGCATATGCTTTCTGACTGAGAGGAAGGTGGCAGTAGTACAAACTAACAAGACATTGACCTGTTTCTTATGTGCCTGTTTGCTTCTCCGCGCCATTGTTACCATACCCTGGCGTGGCTGCAGGCTCCTAGGGGAGGTAATGGTGGCACCTTGCTGATTCTAGGAACAAGAAACAGTTACACACACAAAACCCCAAACCCAACAAAACTTATGTTGTTTGCCATACAGAGTGCCAATAATGATGTGAGACTACCAAGCCATGCAGCACTGCTGCCCACACAAGCACGATTCTTTTTCCCCCGTCGCTGTGTTTTAATAATATTCCTAAACTGTATGGCTCTCAGGAGAGCCAAGGCTCCAGCTCTGTTGGGAGCTTTTATAATATCAGGATGTTATCATGACTCTGATGTTCTAAATACTTAAAACCTGAACACCTGGAATCAGATAATAACAGAATAATCTTCACTTCCATTAAAAAAATATCTAATCTTACTTTGCAGAGAGAAGCAAGAACCACTGGCTTAGAAAACAGTGGACTAATTCAGCTCACTAAACAGGAAGAGAAGTATTCACTCTTAGTTATCTGCCAGTTTAATGAACTGAATAAATCCCAGAACTGGTGCAGCAGAAGCAGCACAGATGCACAGGTACTTTTATGAGGGATGCAGAACTGCATGTATCATCATCAGCAAGCTGTTAGATCAACTCAGACACTTCACTCAAATTCACCAGAGAAACAGAGTGAGTACAGAGTAGCAAGAATATCTGAAGAGTTAGTTCAGGGACTTCAAGAACTGGAAGATGACTCAGACTGACATTTTTAATAACCCCTGAGAAATCTGCTCTCTGTGAATTTGGCTAATCCCTTTTCAATCTCATGCCTCTGATGTTCATGGCATCCTGGAGCCATCCACTTCTCACGTTACTAAGCTGTGCATAAACTGTATGAGCTACTTTTGTTTGTTTAAAGCTAATACACCCATATAGGTCCTCTGTTGTCAGACACACTGACAGCTTCTGTTGCTTCCCCATATTATTCATGATTTTATGGGTGTTGTCATCTCCCCTCACCCATCATTTCTGGTCACATTTGCCCACATTACTTATACCCTGCTCCCTTGGAACTAAAGAACCTTTCTATCATGTACTATAGGAGGATACCACTCTCCAGGTACAGTCTTCCAGCTAAGGAGATCACGTCTTCCCTCCATCTTTAACCCACCCCGCTATCCATATCTGCCCACAAGCAGAGCAGTCTTCTCCAGCCCACCCTAAGCAAGGGCACACCACCAGCAGTGCAACCTCTAGTGCGCCTCCTCCTCCACTCCCCTGTGCCTCTGCCTCCTCTTTCTGTTCCAGCCTCTGTGTCATTTTCCCCCTTCCTGGTCCCCTTTACCTTCAGGGTGAGTTGAGCTTCCCTACTTTGCTCCCATCTTCCCTGCCAATTGGATACCTTTTGTTCAGCACCTCCCCAGCCCAGCCATGAGCTGAAGCTGCCTCCTCACCTTGTTAAATCCCTCATTCCACCTGTCCTTTTCTGTCCTTTTGTCTGCAGCTTCCACTGCCTGCACAAAGTCCCCATATATAAAAACACTAAAAAAACAAAAAAAAAATTGCTCCTTTCTCTCAGAGCAGCCAGAGCTTCCTTAGTTTTTCTCTTTTCCTCTATGTCATTTCCTTTCCCAGGACAGAAATTTTTAAGTTTCTAACCTCACATCACTACACTTTTTTCTGTGGGATATCAGCTTGGCAGCCCTGTTGCCTCAGGCACTGTGCCACCAGCTGCAGCCATGCTGCTTCTGCACCACAGACAGTGAGCAGGGTGTCTCCCACTTGGGTCTAGAGATCTGACATTTGTCATTCCCTGGTTTTCCATTCACTGTCTCTTCCTCACACTGCAGTCCCCACTCAGCAGCTGGTTCAGTTGCCGCCTTAGGGAAGGGCTACCTTCTCCCCCTTTATCAGCTCAGCTCAGTTTGTTCCCCCTCACCTCCTTCATTTGCCTCCATCACTCATGCTGGGTGGGACTTTACCTTGCACCTTGTGCTTTCCCTCCAGCAGCAGTTCACTGTGCCAGTGCTGCTGGCATCTGGTGGCACAGGAGGTTGAGGAGTATCTCTCCCACTGAGTCCTTAAGTGAGCGTTCTGCTCTTGGTTGCACTACTGCATGATGAGGACTCGCCAAAGACTGGGGCATGGTCACAATGCTTGTCTCTTGGCTTGGAAGGACAGGTGCTGGGTTTCCAAAACACAAAGCAGGCTGCCAGCACCACTGGCAGAAACCTCTCTCCCTAGATGTCTCCTCAATGGCTGCTAAGCGGCCCCCCTTGGTGCCAGGAAAGATCCTGCAGAACCTGCTGCAGCCAGCAGACACTGATGACCACAATGACCAGGGGAGATCCACACAGATGGTATGAAGGATACCCCAAGGAGAGGGCCTGCCATGGGGAGACACATTCCCTCTTCTGTCCCTTCTCATCTCATCCACTCCTGAATGTGGTCCTCCGGAGTCCCTGAGCCCATCTCAGCACCCAAAATTCCATCTTCATAATGATGGGGATTGAACTATGAACACTTGCAGCTGTTTTCCCTGTGGAAACCAATGTGGATGACAGCAAGGGAGATTACGCCTGAGGAAGGATGCCAAACATATAACAATACTTTCCTAACATCTCTTCAGGTTCTTCTTTAGTCAAAAGGAGGCATTGTTGTGATCCCCTGGCAGCACCTGGCAGTTTTCTTCCCCTAACGTTTAATGCTTTTTTGAAACACTTGGGAACCTTTAGTGCCAATATCATGCTTCGGCAATGAGTTTCACCATAAAACATATGAAAAAGTATCCAAGCACAGCCCCATTCCTCTCGCAACACAGCAAATCCAAGAAGCACATGGAAGACACTAGGCTCTAATGTACCCAACTCCTGGCAAGCCTGAAGCATTTGCATTTAGCACCTGCTGAAATAAATAAATACCTTTTTTTTAATTATTATTCCGCTTCATCTCCCAGTCATACCCAGATAATGCCATTGCTAGATAGGTATCAAGAGCTGGAATTGTATTAGTAAACTTCCCTCACACCAGTTCAGAAATTGGAAGTAACATCTGTAAAGTGGAGAGCCAAAAACCACTGAATGTGGTTGCACTGCAGAGCACGTGGAGCACATGCCTCTGCTGCTGCACACTGGTGCATAGGTGGAGTGTCAGGAAGGCAAACACTTTCCCCAGCAAGAATGACTACACAGCCTTCTTCAGTTTGCCTGCAAGCAAGGTCTTGTTCATTCTATATCTTCATGTGAGCTTGGATTTAAGCTGTAACCTAGAGAATTCACTGAAGTGTTGAGACTTCATTCAGAACAAGCATATTTCAGGTTGTGCTGTGGAAACAGGATTAAAGAGTGATATTTAAACTCGGTGTGACAGTAAGGACAACACTTTAGCAAAGCATTACAACCAGATCACCTGGCACTTGAAGCATCTTCCTTTGGCATTATCTGAAATAAAACAACATTGGAGAGACAACTTTAGTTAAGGATACACTGGCCAAAGGTGACAACGCCTTCAGAGCCTGTCCTGTCTTGCTGACTGGCCAGGAGGCTGGAATTGCTCATCAGCCTGACCATGTCTGCTGTGGACTCAGCTGTACAGAGCACCGAGCCATGCTCCCCGGTGTCCCTCACCATGCCACCCCTCCGGTCAGGAGTCCCGGGGCTCTGCTTACAGCTCAGGAACACCGGGAGCAGATTTTTCCGGTTAGTGCTGGGGGGATCTCTTGTCTCTGATCCCATCTCAGCATCTCTGGGTTGTACATACCAGACGTGGAACCAACCAAAGCTGGACTAAACACCAAGTCCCAAACTCTCCGAGAGATGGCACTGAAGGAGGGGATGCAACGACGAGATAGGGCAAAACCTCGCTCTGCCACCTGGCACGGGGCTCTGCCCTGTTCTTAGGGAGCCGGCACCGGCACTGCCCGTCTCGCCACCGGCCCCTAAAGCCCCAAGGCAGTGGTAGCCCCGGGCCGGGGCTGGGGAGTGGGTTATCCGGTGCGCTCTGGACCACGAATCCACCGTGAAACCAACCATGGGAGCACCTCACCTGCGCCCAGCAACGCTGCGTCCACAACACCCGCCTAGCCCGGTTTTCTCCTGGGGAAATTTTCCCCTCGGAAAATACCCTCTCCGCCCCAAGCGCAGCCCGACCCCCCCAAAATGGCGGCCGGTCCCTCCCCGCCCTCTCCAGGCTCCGCACCGCGGCCGGGCCGGCCCGCCAGCCCCCGCCCCGCTCCCGCTGACGTCAAGCACCGCCCGGTACCGCGTCCCTCCCCTCATTGTCAGCGCCCGCACCCGCCACCCGAGCCCCGGAGCCCCCCGTGGGCTGCGGCTGCCCAAGCCCGGGCTGGGAGGGAGCCCGGCCGCTCCCGCTGCCCAGGTAAGCAGAGGTGGGCGATGAGTGGGCGGGCGGGGGGTGCCGCAGACCGGCGGGGCGGGGAGGAATTTGAGGCATCCGCTTTGTCTTTGACCGCCGCCTTCCCGTCGCTTCCTGGGCGAGCGGGTGGGCGCCTGAGGGCCGGGTCGCCCGCGGAGTGGCGGGGGCGGTGGGGTCTCCCCGCGGGCGACCCGGCCCTCAGGCGCCCGGCGGGGCCTCGGCTCCTGCTCGGAAATGGAGCCGCCGTCGGGCTCCTTCCGACGGGACCGGAACAGCCGCCTTCCTGAGCGGAGAGCGGCTCGGTCCCCGCCCGGGAAGGGCACGGTCCCTCCGGGGCTGCCGCGAGCTGCCCTCTGGGAAGGTCCTTAACCTATAGCTGGGGCTTGGTGGAGTTGAGATTTTTGAGATTTCCAGGCGCTTAACGCGATTTCTGTGGATAACCATTTTTTTCCCTTGCTGCAGCCACATACTCCCTTTCCTGATGCTTATTTTTCCTGAATTCCCCTTTTTTCTAGCCTGCCCACGCTTATCATATAATTATTAACGTTCTTTTATACATCTGCTTGTCTGACGCTCTACCTTTGTTAATCACTTCAGTCTTCTTTGCTCTGCCGTCGTGAAGGAATTAATTGGTGGAGCGTTGTGAAACTTTTTGTCTTCCTGGAATTTCTCAAATGTACCCCATTTGGCTTTGTCAGGTGTCCCACGTGCCATGTGAAGCCAGCAGCACAGCAGACCTTTGCTGGTTGTCCTTGGTCACCGCACTTTCATTGCAAATCTGCATCTTTTTTCCCTTCTAATGCTACATCTGAAGCCTTTAAACCAATTAAACAGAAGTTAAAGTGACCATCCCAACTAATCAGCACGTTCAAGTTAGCTGCAGTGGGATTAGATTTTAATTGATGCATAAATTCTGTTAAAATCCTCCACAAAAGTCACGAGAAGGAGTGCTCATTGCTACCCGTGTGTATTGGGGTTGTTGCTTATTGAGTCTCTCACTGAAAGCCGCTGGAGTGGGCAAGCCACGCTCTCTGAGTGATACTACAGTGATGACGGTGAGAAGGGGCAAGTATTTTTACAACCCTGGAGTAGTCTCAACCATTCAGAATTTAGGGAAAAAATGCAGCAACTTACTGCATGCCTGCAGTCTCTTAGCAGAGATATGCATCTCACGGCCTTCAGGACAGTGAGGGGGGACAGTGTTCGTCAGTGTCACAGTTTGTGTGAGTACAGAACCAACAGCTCTGTGCTCTGGTCAGTTTGTGCAGCCAGTGCCCAGCTGGCACATTTCAGCAGGGGCAGCATGCTTCATGGATGGTTTGCATTTGTGGCACTCGCAGAAGTATAATTCCTCCATTGTTTTGGCTCTAGAGTGGTCAGGATGGCAAAAAATGGTTGGCACTGCCTACCAGGTTGACTCCCCCACCCTGGGGTTCCAGGAGGCCTGAGGGAGTGATGATTGTGCGGGAAGCCCTGAAGTACAAGACCCTTCCTGGGCATGGGGCCCCCTCACCAGGATCACACCTGGGCCATCTGGGGCTGCTCAGGGCAGCCAGCCCTCTGTACCACTGCAGGGAGGAGAAGGAGGACATGGAGAGCTGGTTTCTTTTGGAGTTATGGCTGAAAGTTCCTGTGGAAAGAAGTGAATCAGGGTAAAGAGTGTGGGAGAACAGTGCAATTCAAGAGTAGTCAGGTCCCCCCTGTGTCTCCTGGTCTGAGTAGCACTTCAGCCCCAACTTCCCTTTAATCCTATAAATGGTAAAGTTTCTGCACTCCAGTACAGGGCAGCCTGACCGACTTGGACTTCCTAGGAAGTAGAAATAAGTTACAACAGCGTGAGCTTTTCGCTAGCCCTCTGGCTTTTTCTGTGTTCTGAAAATCTGGCCCAACTGAGAATAAGTTACTGATTTTCATTATTTAATGTGAGCTAGGAAGTACAGGCAAAAATAACTCTTGTTAAAAAAGAGAACTCTCAAATGTAGTTATTACCAGAAATGATAATGTTTAAAAGCCTGGTATGCCTTGCAATCAAGACCACGTAATTTTGTTTGTTCAAATGGGTTGGTGATTACCTCTTTGAGCGTGACCTTACCAGAGTATTGTACACAGGCACTCTGAGGTTGTACTCATCCTCCATGAAACCTTTCCTTCCCTCCACAGGCTGTGGTCTGTGAGGAACTAAAGGCTTCCTTCCTCGTGGAAGTTTTTCAAAAAGTGTGGTTGGCATGACTGAGCCAAATGACAAAAAAGAACAATTTTGATACAGTTGTTACACTAAAAAGAAGCAAATAATCTTTTTAGGGGGCCATTAGGATTGGAAGATTCATGCAAGGGTGATGAATTGTAGATGATTCTTAGCAGTAATATGTTTTGTACTGACTAGTGCAGTGCAGGTCATGGGAGCCCTTAAAATATGTTGGAAGGGAGAGCCCTCGTTGTGATGGTTATGGCATGGTTACTTAGGTTTTTGCAAGTCTAAGGCCCGATGTACAAACTTTTTGCCTTGGTTAATGGTCGGATCCACTCGTGTGAAGTAGAAAGCACGAGTGTTTTCAAATACTTGATGATAGCTGATGAGCAGGTGTTGCTTGCCAGCACTTCCTGCGTTCCCAGTGCCGGTGGTTGGCTTCGTCCTTCTATTCTGTTATTCTCTGCTTTAGATGAGCTGAATCTTTGGCAGGCTTTAGTCCTTTAATTTGATGTCCTCTCCGTAGTCACCAAAGGTGGGATTAATCTCCCTGTCCAAGCTCAGCTGTTTGCCAGGGTAACAGGGGCTCGCTGCCTGCTCGTAATGGCAACTGTGGCCATTCACTGCACACACTGTGGACAATCACATCTCTCCAGATTTGAGGGTTTAGAGCTGGTGACAGAATCAGTTTAGTGGAAAACCCACAAACCATTTGCCTTTAATAGTCCAGATTTAGGAGCTTTCATAACCACCCTGACTCTGAGAAGGCACTCCAGGCATGCTATTTCTGTGAAGTCAGTGGGGTTTTGGTTGATTCAGTAGCCTGAAAACCAGTGCTTTTTGAGATGATCAAATATGAAGTGTGGCATTGGAGAACAGCCATCAGAATATGGCAATTTAGCCTTTAATATTTTTGTGTCTCTGGCATTGTCTTAGGTTTTGGCAGTGATGTTCCTCTGCTAAGGCCCTAATTTTGACAGATAAGGGGTTGTAAGGATCGGCTCAAGCCCTGTGTTCTTTAACCCTTGCCAGGGTGGAGTAAGATATGCAGGTGCAACACATAGCCTTACCTAAGTGTGCCCTCAGCATGCTCAGAAGTATGAATGCCATTCACAGGCAGTTTCTGTTTCCTTCTATGTAAAACAAAGCTGAGAATATTTCTATGCTCTCTTACGGAAGTTGTGCAGTGAATTTAACACTTGCATTCCTGAACATTTGAATTTCTCGTAGAAACAAAATCCAGAAAGGTGAATGCGCTATCAGAGTGACAGGCTGAAAGGAGAGAGGGTGTTTAGAAGAAGATGAGTTTTAATGTTACACTCAGCACTCAGCCTACTCTGCAGCCTTGGGCCATGAGAGTTGGAGAAGTTATGCACATAGTGGAGCCCCTTAGGATCCACATCAATAACCCCAGGAATGAAATGGATCATTTCTTCGCTTAGGAACAAAGTTGCCAAAATACACACCTATAAAGTGTAAGGACGCATCAACTGGTAAGTTTGTTTCTGTGTGACAGTGCGAAGATGAGAGTGGCTGCTTGCTTCTGCAACTCTGTCTACTTGCAGGAGAGACAGGGATTTTCACATCCTATCCAGTCATGGATTTGGAAGTGCTACATCAGTGCAGGTGGGCACTGTTGCTGGAGGAAGTGGACTTGCCTTTCCCCTTGTTCTGACCACTTTCTCCTCCAGGGGCCCTTTCTAGCCCTGCTCCAGCTGACACAAACTCCATGCAGCCGCAGGGAGCAGTTGATCTGGATGAAAATTAACCATCAGCCTCCCTCCCACCCCCTTTAGCCCTGCCTGATTCCCAGCCTGACTACTGGGGTGCTTTACTCTGGTCAAGAAAGGAAAGCATGGGACTAGAAGGGGGCAGGTGCAGTGGAGTGCCACCTGTAAAAGACTATGAAACTTAAGTTTGAGGATCTGGTCCAAAGTCTGTGAGATCACTTGTGCAGTGATAGCATCCCTTGAACATACTAAGTATTGCTGTCTCTGTTCAGATCTCTGCCACCACCTTGCTTTCATGGTGCTTTCACTTTGGACATCCTGCCTTTGCAAAATTCCTGATTGCACAAAGCGCTGCCCAGGTTTGGGCAGAGGAGTAGAGACACCATGTTTAGAGTACTTCAGTGGAAAAGTTCCTGTGTTTATTAAGTCTCAACAATTTTGGCCCTGTTTGTCAAAGCTTCATTGGATTGAGCTAACCTCAAATGTCTTCCTTGCAAAGTAACTTCTGAGCCCTGTTGTCTGGGGTCTGATCAGCTGTATTGAACTTGGGCCAGCAAAGTGCACTGGTCTCGTGTGTAAATACTTTGTGTGAGCTGGAAACTTCCGTATAGCTGCTCCTCAGCCCACTGCAGCGTAACAGCTGCCATCCTGAGCTGCTCTGGCTGTCCATAACCCAGCCATGCTTGGTGCCAGCCCTTGTCCTCCCTTGGCAGCAGGCACAAGGCAGGCTTGGCTCTGTGGGCAGTTCCCACTTCTCACAGGTGGGCTCCTGGGTGCTCCAGGATGAAGCAGGGGGAGACATGCACTGCCGAGTATGGGCGCTTCTTCACC